AGCGTAAAACGCAAGTTGAAAGAGAAAGACAGGGAATATAAATGAGCGAATGAGTGAGTGAGTGAGAGGTAGAGAGAGAGAGAGAGAGACAGAGAGATTGTGAGAGTCAGATGGGTGGAGAGGAGAGGAGAGGAGAGGGGCAGAGGAGAAGGGAGAGAACTGACATGCTACGGTGGGCCTGAAAACGAAAATAACGAAACGAAACAATGTCGAGCTGACGTAACCGTGAACTAGGGCGGAAACAATTGTGGCGGACAAGTGCGAAGCGCCGGAAGCATCGCCTCGAGAGTCGAACGAAATCGAGAAACGGGGCCGAGGGGGCCCCGTGGGGGCCCAGTGGGGAGGGGCAGGCGGTTACACGTGCTCTCGAATCTCCCAGGGACGCGCACGCTCGCGGTTATTTCATCAATATGTATTCTTTTATTTAGTTTTATTTTATTTTTCATTTTATTTCATTTTATTTCTCAGTGCTCCAGTTAATTTTTATTTTCGAAATATCTCGACTAACGCGTTAGGAATCGAGTAACTGAACCATCATTCGTATTATTGTTTTTTCTTCGTAATTGATTTTATTACAAAATATATTTTTTGATTAGAGATATATTAGGGGGACCCCCCACATCTAATATTTTATAATATTAATATTAATATGCAGATTAACAAACCGAATAGTAGTACTAGTAGTAGTAATCGATGAATTTCATTATTTATCTAATTTATCAAGTTAATTTCTTTTTTGTTTTTTTAAATAAATATTGTTAAAAACGTTTAGCAAAGAGTTTTTACTTTGAAAATGTAGAAAATCAAGTATCGTAATAATTGATGAATTTTATCTAACACGTATTAATCTAAACGGATTAATCTTAAGTATATTCATATATTATATAAGTAAAGAAAGAAAGAAAGAGAAAAAAAAAATCGTTATCATTGTATCAAGTAAGTCGCAACTTCAAAGGAGGACCCGTTTGCATAATCCAACGTGCAGAGTCTAGCGAGGTTGATGGAAGAGAGGACGTAATAACGGTAGCATTTTCTCGATTGTGTCATCGCTCCTGAAATGTCGTGCTTACACCCCTCTTCTAAGCCCTTCTAAGTATTTACACGAACATATATTATACATTACTACACTACTACTACTACTACTTACTACTTCTAAAATAGAGAGATAAAGATAGTGAAATGACGTTTAGTTACACTAACATACATACTATACGTTACTACCAACTACTACTACTACTACTTTAAAAAAAAAAAATAGAGATAGAGGAATGACGTTTATTTACACTAACATACATACTATACGTTATTACTACTACTACTTACTTACTTACTTACTAGTACTGCAACAACTAGGAACTATTAATGCTACTACTACTACCACTACCACTACTATTGCCATTACTATTACTATTACTACTACTAAAAAAAGAGATAGAGATAGTGAAACGACAAGTAAGTTGAGAGGACAAGTGGAACGCAAAGCCAACCCGCTGTGTCGTCGTGGGTCTCGGCAAAGCGCGCATTGGGATCACTGGGCCGCAGGAAGAGCTCGTTTTCAGGACAAACGAACCAGAAACAATTAATAACATACCGTGTCTATGTACCCCTATATATATATATATATATATATATATATATATATATATATATAGAAAAAGCGAAAGTGAACAACGTTGCCTTTTTTATTTTTATGAACATCGACGATCTTTCCTACAAATCGATTTGACACTAACAACCAAAATTATTAATCGTTATTATTAAATTCATTGTCATTATTATTTGGGGAGGGGGGAGGGGCGAGTAGAATATAAAAGTTCTCTTCGATAAATAATGAATTAAATAAAATAAAATAAAAAGAGAAGAAAAAAAATAAATCTCGGTTAGAAAGAGAGAGAGAGAGAGAGAGAGAGAGAGAGAGAGAGAAAGACACGAGATATAAATGATTTCGGAATCGCGTGCAATTGCGGCATTAGGTTAATTGGTCTCCCAAGTTTTCATTTTCCGTCTCCTTCGAGCGAATCCTTTATTTCTATTTTATTCTTGTTGAATGAGAGATAATGAGAACGCGCGTGATAATGAGTCACTTTCCATAAACTGTATGGATATAATCATTTTATTAATAATATTTATCATGTATATTTTATTTTTCTGTTCGCAGTCGTTCTTCGGAAGATCTTATAACAATTTGAATAGTATCTCCGAATGCAAGAACGGTGGAGAATGCGTGATAAATAAGAAGAACCGTACCGCTTGCAAGGCATGCCGTTTGAGAAAGTGTTTATTGGTTGGAATGTCCAAATCCAGTTCACGTTATGGACGCAGATCAAATTGGTTTAAGATACATTGTCTTTTGCAAGAACAACAACAACAGCAACAACAACAAAGACAACAACAACAGCAACAACAACAGCAACAACAACAGCCGCAGCAGCAACAACAACAGCAGCAACAACAAGCGCAACAACAACTTCATTATCCTCAAAATTTGCCGGTTAATCCTCAACTTTCTCAACAACAAAGAAAAGCAATAAGTCCACCGGTCGGTCTACATCCTAGCCAAAGGAAAGAGGATTCTCTGTTACTTGGTTTAGACGATTATAAGAATTCAACATCGCCTAGCATAAGTTCGCCGGAATCGCACAATAGCGACAGTTCAGTTGAAATATCTGAAAGAAGGGCGTCTTATGCGGGACACCCAGGCTTCCGACCGTTGCATCCTCATTTGTCACATTCAGTTGCCGAACTTTCAGCTTTAGGAAAAGAAATGATGAGCTTACCGTTTGGTTTCCATCTCAGTGGAATGTCCTTAATCCAGCCAGCCTTTTTGCCGCCGCCAGGTCTCACAATGTTTCCACCTTATCACCTTTACGGCACGCAGCATGGTGCTTCGCATCCTTTGATGCAAACCTGTCCCTCGCCAAACGTTCAAAGCAATTCACCAATACTCGATGAAATTTCTTCGACAATACCGGAACCCCCAACGACTACTACTACAACGGTGACCGTAGCTTCTACGACGATAAGCACCGAAACAATAACCACGAGTACCGATTACAAAAATTCATTTGCCAATAATAATAATAATAACAATAACAATAATAGGGACGTTCACAATCAAAACGTTCGGCCGACGAAAGATAACAATTCGTCTACCGAAAATTACAGCAAAAGATTTTATTTGGATACTGTATTAAAAAGACAACGTTCTACGCGAGACAGTCCTTCACCTAGATCAATTAAATCCCAATCAGATCGTGAATCGTCAACCTCGTCTCCCGAAGTTGACATTGATTATAATTCACAGGACATTCCTATAGATTTATCAATGAAATCCGGTCAAGATTCTAACGAAGAAGACGAATTAAATGATAAAGATGAAAGTGACAGTTATGGGCCACCATTGAAGAAAAAGCCTACACCTATAGATCTCACTACGAGATCTTAAATAGAAAACTTTGTCACGAGAAAATGAATGATTCCTCGATGACTCGTCAAAACATTTATTCTTCGAGGAATGCCAAGGAAACGAACTGAATATTTGTCTACCCTATTACAATAGTGTTTGCGAACAATTTATTTGTCATTTTTCATTCATTCACTAACTCTTTTCTTTCTTTCTTTCTTTCTTTCTTTTTTTCTTTTTTTCACCCTTCCGCTTTCCCTATTTCTATTCTTTCTAGTCTACCGAAAATCTTTCCTATACCGTGAGAAAGGTCAAATGGTTCTATTCTACTATAATCTGCCGGTATGTGTGAAATAATACCCGCTTAGAAGTTAAGCATAAGCAAAACGGTGAAATCGAAAATTGCTGTCGGCACTCAATGGACTTTGACAAGATACTTATTCTACGGACCCCTGTGTTATACTTAATTGTATTCGCGTTTCTATTTGAATTACTCAATGGATTCTATCTGTTACCTGCAGAAATAAACAAAGAGAAAGAGTAAGAGAAAGAAATAAATAAAAAGAAAGGAGATAAAGAGAGAGAGAGAGAGAGAGAGAGAGAGAGAGAGAGAGAGAGAGAGAGAGAGAGAGAGAGACCAAAAATGAGAAATAATATTAAACTAAAGAAAAACTGGAAAAGATTTCTAACATGAAATCCCTCAATTGCATTCTAATACCAATATTATTATAATATACTACCAAACGTTTTATTTAAACATCACGCACAATAGATTTGACAAGATAATTGCAACGAGAAAAGAAAAAGACAAAAAAAAATATTAATCTTTATAATAATTCACGATAACGCGTGACAATTTGTTTTATTATTTAAATAAGAGAAATTTAGACTTCGCATTCTCTCTCTCTCTCTCTCTCTCTCTCTCTCTCCTGGTTGTTACCTATAGGAAAAATAAAAAAGTAAGTAAGTAGATAATAAACTAGTTAAGAAAGGCAGGAAAAGACGAAGAAGAAAGAAAGAAAGAAAGGAAAAGGATTGGACGTGTGTGTGTGTGTGTGTAGGGACGAAGGAAGTGTTCTGTGCACGTGGATTCGCCGGATGAACACGTAAAACCGCGGGGTGCACACGTGTTTGGAACGCGCGTTACAATGCGCTCGTACACGCGTCGAACGTCTAGTAAACGTTTTATCTTACGAGCGTTCGACGCCTGCCAATGTTTAACTCCGACCGTAAAGTTTTCGTCTCTCGTGAGTTGGATGGAGAATGAAAGACCAAGGAAGAAGAAGAAGAATGAAAGAAACAGAGAGAGAAAACAAGAAAGAAGGAGTAAGAAAGATCCTTCTTACAAATACAATACAATACAAAGCAACACAACCACGACTACCACCACCACCACCACCATCAACAACGATAAAATGAAGAAGAAGAAGAAGAAATTATTTTTTAGGGTTTTTCCTATAGAAACTCGATAAGCATTCGCATTATTATTTCATGTATCCCATGAAAAAGTAATTACAATTGCTAACATTTTCTACTTTTTCTCATCTCCCTTTTAACTGTTTATGTATATATATATATATATGTGTGTGTGCATATGCGTGTATATGTGGTATGTTTAAGTACGAACTTGGACTATACTTTTGCCGGCTGGTTTATACGGTCGCACGAGAGAGGGTGCATCCCATCGAACACAGATTCCCTTTTAAACTCTATCGGTTCTTCTTCTCATGTGAGCTAAGAGAGAAGTGAGAATCATTGTAAAAGAAAACGGTCCGCTATCCTTGGAATCCAAGAAACTCGAGAGGTGGTAGCAAAGATATCGTTTTCACGATTCACCAACCACCACCGTATGTATATGTGTGTGTTTTCCGAGTCCATGGAAGTCGGCTGTGTGTGTGTGATTTTTTTTGTTTTTTAATGTCTATGTACCCCCGTTCTCTCCACTTGCGGCATCATCTTTTTCAAAACTCTCTATTTCTTTTCCGATTGTTAGTTTGTTTTTCACTTCTTTTTATCATCTTCTTCTTCTTCTTCGTGTTATTGGTTTTTAGTTTGTTTTTTTTTTATTTTTCCTTCCCCCCCTACGCGTCCCATTATATCTTTTCGTCATTTCATTTCATTGATTTTCGTCTTGTTAACGTTAATCACGTTAATTCGTTTCAACGTGTAAATATTCTTATTTTATACGAATACATAAAAGCACATAAGTTTTTTTGAGTTTTTTTTTTTTTTTCACTCGCATTCAACATTTTCGCAATTTTGCACCGAGTTTTTTTTCTTTTTTTTTTTTTTTTCTTATGTGTTAAGACCCCTATGCAAATTAAAATATATTTATTTTTTGCAATAGATTTATCTATTTTCATGCTTCATGATTCGTGATACATTTTTACGATGTGTCTTCAACAATTGTAAATTAACGAATGATGAATCAGGAAAAAAGTATAAAAGTATGAGAACATTGATATCATATACGAAAGATAGAGAAATATGAATAATTTGAAAAGAAAATGAAATTGTTTACAGTTTTCATTAAATTTTCAATTATGTGTCAACGTATAAATAATTTTAATGTGTATAGGGGTTTTTAAGTAATAATGATATTTAATGAATAATCAAATAATTCGTATAAAATTATTTTTAGATGAATTTAAAACAAATCTTCTTTTTAAAGCAAACAATGTAATCGAATTATTTCTTCATTGATTAAATTAAAATTAAAATTAATTGTATGTAAGAACACACAATAAATGTCATGATTAATCATTCATTGAATAACACATAATATCACCAAAAACAGTATCGCACAAATATGGTTATTTAATTTTCTTCAAAACAAATTAATAATAACGAATTAAAATCATTTAATATTCCCGACTCGTCTCGTTTTCTTATTTCTTCTTCATGTTTTCTCTTCCTCTTTTTTATGTTTCCTTATCTTTCTATCTCCTATACATCTTTTTTCTTATATTTCTTTTTTTACTTACGATTAATTGTAAGATAAATAGAAACGAAATGAATTTTTCATATGTAATTCGTTAAATAGCGGACACACGTGCAATCCTAGATTTATGTATTCGTTTTAATTAATTAGGCAGGGACAAAAGTGTAAATAAATGACCAAATCAACGGCGCGTATGTATAAATGCATGTATATAAGTAAGTTCATATATATATGAACGTAGATAATACATATGTGTATGTATATGTGCATACATTTTGTTTGTATACCATCGAAGGCTAGATTAAATTCGAAAGAGAAGAAGAAGAAAAAGAACAAAAAATAATTCAAAGTTCGCTTCTTCTACAACGTTATTTTTTAAGTATTATTATAATAAAACAGATTATTACATCAACGTGGTGACGTTCGTTATGTATATACCCACATAACACATATACAATGGAACCTTCAGTATTTGACAATCTAATATTCTAATTGTAAGTGTAAACGTACTCGACAAATTTATAAACTTATTTTTAAAACGAGTAAAAACAAATTAAAAATCATTCTGGTCTCTTTACTAATAAAACTTTGACGGAACCAAAAAAAAACAAAAAAGGTAGATTCATTGAATATTATAAATACATATAGTTTTTTAATATATAAAAATTTTCCATCCGAACGTTTATGTTTCCCTTTTAATTCGAATATTGAAGGTTTTATTGTACATATATATATGTCACTTGTATTCCTGCAACTTAGAGTGTCCACCACTATCACGTCTCGTTTTATTTTTATTATTGACAATGAAACTAATTACAAATATATATTGTCAGTGGAAGAAAGTCAAAGCAAGTAGAAGGACGTTCACCTTTCAGCTCTGATGAGAAAACACAAATTTTATTATTATCTTTCATTTCATTTTTTAATACTCATTTTCATATTTTTATTTATTTTTTATTCGTTGAAAAGAGAAGGACCAATACGGTGTACCTGTATTATATGTATAAAAAGAGAGAGAGAGAGAGAAAGAAAAATATTAAGATAAAAAAGAAAGAGATAAAAAAAGAAATCTTTCTCATCTCGACGTAGATTTCTTGAAAGACAGAGGCGAAATTACAAGGTTGCGTGCAAATTTATGAAAAGGTTACGGACATAAATAGATAATATAGTAAAGCCCACGGCGAAGATGAGCATGTTAAACTCATAATACTGTACCATGAATATTCAACGTATACCGAAGAACGAAATATAAATTCTCTCTGCGCACGAGAGCATACATAGTATGATACTGCATATACACATACACACATACGCATAATTCTATATACCAAATACGTTTATATACATACATACATGCACATATATATATGTACTTACATATGCATTTATATATATATCACGTTACACATATATACACACATGTATATTAATATACATATATGTAATTCAATAGATGCCGGCCACCCCATAGAAATTATTAACTATTTGCATTGAAGTATCAATTAGTTTTGGCGGCACTTCGACGTTTTTTCTTTTACACGTTCGACATGTCTGCATTTACACGCAAACTTTACGATTTTTAAATGACCTTTTTATTGTGATACCTATATAAATACGTATATGTATGTTAGAGGATGGCTTTAACTTATGCATGTATGATACGTGCGAAAAGCACGCTCGAGAAATTCAAATATACGTCTCCGTGTTCGGAAACGTGTTTCTTAAAGGTTTACAGTGTCTCTTTATTTTACTGGCCGCCATTTGGAAAATATTGTTTTACATTCGTCCTTAAACGAACGACAATTTCTCCTCTTTAAACTAAAGACGTTTTAAAAAAAACTATTTTACACGTTATATATTTAGTGGGAATTAATTTCTTACAATTAGTATTTAAAACAAATAGATTGAATTCCACACATACACACACACCACATTTATCTTATTATAATTTATCTTATTTAATTCATCTTATTTATTCTAATTTGTTTCTTTATTTAACAACACGAGAGTAAAGTATTAATCTTGTGATTTTTATTTTATCTAATTTTTTTTTATTCATTTAGTGATTAAAGATCTTATTTCAGAGCTTCGATCAAATCAAATTTTTTCAATATAAATACACTTTTAACAAGTATTAGCTTTATGCGAATTTTTATTATAAACATATGTATAGTGACCAGCAATCATCATTAAACAACCAGTTCTCAAAAGAAGAAAAATGTAAGTAAAAGTTTGTAATAAAACGAAATCAAATGTTTCTTATTTTCAAGTGTATCCTATATTTTTTTAAGTATCTTATATTTATTAATTATTTTAGATACTACAATACGGTATGAAGAAAAAAAAGATAATTTAATTTTCTTTTTATTTAATATATAACGGGAGAATTTAGAAAAGTTAATGTTTTATATTATATAAAGTTTTTCAACGCTCGCATAAATAATTTTATCAAATTTATCGATATATAATTTGTGATCATCGAATTTATTTTATCGTCTCATTCTAAGACGCTGATTTTATTTTTGAAAACTCGATTTCAAGAAGTACAATTCTATTAAATGCATCCTCATAAAAGGCATTAGAATTATACAATTTGTGCTATTAGTTATATCATATAAAATATAGAATTATAATTGGATTTGATATCCCGATAGATACTTCATTAACGTACTACGATTGAAAAATATTAAACTACATTACGTGTATAAAATAATCTCAGTCTGTATAAGAGAGCATGTAAATCAGAATATTTACAATATTGTACTATGTTTCAAAATGTCGTACGAATTATCAGTGATTCGATTTAGGAGTATGATGGTTAGGTGTAAACACTTCATAATCTACTACAGAAAAGTTATAATCTCCCATAAGTATTGTGTTCGAAGCATTTTCTCCATCATAACTGTGAGGAAGATTACTGTAACTTTCCATGTTTGTGTTACAGTTACTCGATATTAATAGATCTGCACCTGCACCGAATATGGGTCCTATGCTGTGATAGTAAAACAAAAATGTACATTAAATACTTGATTATATAAATTAAAAATATAAAATGAATTTAAAATTAAGAATATATCAAAATAACTATATCTCACTCAGGATGATAACATATAGCAAAGGGCTTTTTAACAATTTCATATTTGGTTGGAGGTATATCCTGATTATTAGTTAATGTAAAAAGAAAAGCTTTTTCTGAAGAAATATAATGTCCTTTAGCGTTAGTTTTACCCCATGGTGCATCACTAAATCCACCGCATATTTCTCCACGCGTTCCCTGTAATTAAATAGATGTTCTATTTTATTTATATTCTTTGTAGATCATAGTAATTTTTAAAATACTAAACTTACTAATGCTATTACGTATGTTGGAGAAATACCATCACAGTGACGATGAAAAGATGTTGCAGAATAGCCATGACCAGAAGCTCTACAAAATAATACAAGTAGATTTAATTAAATTCTTTTAATATCTTTAGAAAAGATTTAATTAACTTACCTATAAATCAAACGCCAACTTTGTTTCGGTGAACCATACCATTGATTCAATAATCGTTGATATCCTATCTTGTCTCTTGATAAAATTTGTGACCCAGGGAATAGAAAAGGACTTACTCTTGGTTGTAATCTCTTATCCGAACAAATTTCTGCATACTTGCTTGGTAGTGCTGCAAATCTGTATCTAAAGCAAAATGTACAAAAAAAAAAAGAAAAAAAACAGAGATTTATAATAATGTCAAATAATTAAAGTTATTCTAATAATTAGTATTAAAACATTTATACCTTTCCAAAGATAGTTCTATCGGTACAGCTCCAGTTGGTTCTACTTCTTCTGCAAAGACCTGGCTATCGATGAGTAGTAGACGAACATGATTTATCACTCCCGACAAATGTTGGCAGACCCTCACTCGTTCCTCTTCGGTCCAATGTTGTGTAGGCTGCGTCACCCCTGCCTAGGAGCGTGGTCCGTACGGTTAAGCGTTCCTTAACTCGTAATTCTAAATTCCGATCCAAGAACCTAAGGAGCCAAGGACCCGATAATGTATGCGATATAAGGTCTAAGACCTTGCACGCCATACGTACTATCAGAACGTATAATTTGTTCTCGAATTCAAGGGATACAATTTGCTCGGAAACGGAATAATAATTTCTAAATATAAGAACCTGATACTTGGCCCAGTTCAGTACTGCTCTCCATACATCTTCCTCTTCTAGGCCAAGATAGTCGGAAGATATCAATTTGACAAGAGCATCTTTTGGTAGATTACAAAATGCTGTTGTTTTCACCGTGTCCACTGCATTTTCTCCGATAAATGCAAAACATCTCTCGATAAAGGATGAGCAAGCACCTTTCCCACCTGGAAAATAAATTTCAACTACAGGGAAGATAATATTCCTTTTTGTAATATTAAACTGTATTATTTGTGATCTTACACAATTAAATGTAATGCGGTGAATTAAAAATAAGTAAAGATCATTTAAGCATACACATTATGTTATAATATTTTATTTAGATTTATGTAACATAGTTTAACATAACGGATTGCATTATTCAAAGGAAAGGTGTGTATAGGATAAAATAATATAAAAAGCTACAACAGAAGAATTGATAAGCCATAGGATAAGATCAAAACATTTTTTTAATAATCCCTGTTTAAATGACATTTACAATAGTAATTTATGTTTATTTGAATAAACGCAATTTAATCCAATTAAAAAATGAACTTTAGAAATTTCATAGATTTACAATAACCTGATACGTTATATTATAATACAAATTGTGGAATAAAAAATATTTATAATGCTGTAAACGTTCATAGTACACATATTTAGCATAAGATTTTAGTACGTGCAGTATGTTAAAATGCATACCACATTAGGAAGAACATTAAAAAGTTTAATTAAAGAAAATAAAGATGAGTCAATGAATCAATTGCTGTAGCGTCAATCATAGAACAAGATAGACATTAAGTCGATGAGTTCTTCCTTTCTTAAGATTTCAATATTTTTGTCATAAGTATGTCCCTGAGTCGCTCCATAATATCATAATCATATATAATGCACAGCTTTAATCTTCTTGATATTGGCCAGAGAAGGACACTTGCAGTAGATCTTGTGTTTAAATATGTGACATACAATTGTCCTTATTTTGAGGTTAACTTCTTTAATTCAATTCGCAGTAGGATTAGTATTTTGTATTAAAGTTATATTATCTCCTTTTAACATTATACGTCCAAGTGGTTTTCTGTTTTTCGTCTTCAAATGATATTCCTCGGCATCATCCAAAACTAAATTCATGTATTCATCAAAGCCGACAATGTGACCCTCGATCCTCAGATGAATATTTTCAAAAAGCCAAACTTGTACCCGAGACCGATTTTGCAAATATCGGAATATAAGGTTTATGGGTTGTACCATAACCTTTTGTACCTTTTGTGGTCCTTTGTACGACATTTTGAACTTTGTTTTACAAAAAAATACGGTGCGATATGCTTAAAACGTACTTGTTTTCTTCGTGAAAACGGAAAACGCCGCTAAATATGGCGTTTTAAGGCTTGCCAACCAAAGAAATTTCGTAGCAGTACTACCAACCGATGCGTACAAAAATTCTTTATCGTAGAATGAAATTTTCATCTAAATTTTTGATTCTTTATTCGAAATTATGCAAAAAAATACTATTTAATTTATATTTTCAATTTTTGTTATAAATGGAATAATAATAGTTAGTATTAGATTTGATTTGAGTAGTGCTGCCGCGTGTTGGTAAGAAAATTTCCTACATTGCCGATAAAGTAATGCAAGTAATAATAATCAATATATTAACATAAAGTAAGATTTATTTAAATATCAAATAATATAAATAAAATAATCAATAAATATAACTATAGTTATCAATTATTTAAAGATAATATATAATCCATTATAATGATGAACAATTTAAAATTAAAATGATCGTTTTATTATTAATCGACTTTAGATGTATACCAAATGGCTGACACTGACATCAGGGTAATAAATAAAAAGTATATAACTAATGATACTGGATAAAATCTCCCCTTTTATCGTAGAAGGTGGAATCGTGCGAATCGATTAAAAGGGAAAGCGTAGGAAAAGACATAAAAAAAGAAATTAGGGAGAGCGTGTATCAAAATTAAAATAATGAAGATCGATGATAGTTGAGAAGTGTCACACAAGTGTTTACGACGTCACGTGCGTGTATTTATACAGGAAACGTATTTCTTTTCTGTTCTCTCTATTTTGTACGAAAAGTTTCTACTTAATACTTTCATAAAAAGAAGAAAAGAAAAAAATAAAGAATTCAGTATAATTTATACACAATCAACCCTCTAATAACACGATACTCTGAAAACATACCGCAAAAATTGCGACAATTTATAACACGATTTCTTTACAGTACAACTCGATCAATTTGAACAACACGAATTTAATTCTGTATGATAAATGAATTGACAATGAATTTTAATCATGTTATAGGAAGTATAGTATCTACTAAATTAAAAAGTAATAGTTTGCATTTGACGAAAAAAATCAAATAAAATTGGACGAATTGAAAGATCGATCAACGTACCTGGTACTCGTTCCTGAGCATCCAAAGCAGCAGTCAAAAGGGCACATGCATTTCCAGGACTTAACGTAGCCGATACGTGTTCCTCGCAACTCCTCCAAAGTTCCTCGACACCAAGTTCTTGAGCAAGACCTAGCATCTCGAATATTCCACTATCTTGTAGCATGATCTAATCATTTCATAGAAAATTAACAAATTAATTTAAATTAACATAAGATATTTTCATCATTACATATATAAATAATATGTTATGAATTAAATGATATTGTATGGACACTGTGATAAATCTATTTTGCACAAAACTATTTAAAGGATATAATCCTAATATTGGAATTTATAGCAATATTCGATTTTCGTAATACCTATATTAATCTCACAACTCATAACATATTCGTTGGTTTATCTCGTTGGTTTAATAATAATAATTATTAGTCGTTTAAATTGACGTTTTGAGGCACAATCTAAAATTAGAATACGGCAATTTAATCATTCATATATATATATGTTGCAAACTGGATGATTAATATAGAAATTATGAATAATGATAAACGATATCGAACATAGTAATAAATTATATTTATTACAAATACTAACTTCAAAAGGTATAATCCTAAACCGCTGAAATTTATTACACTGTTCCACTTTTACAATTCCTATATTATTCATTTAAACCATAACATATGTATTTAGTTTCCTATTCTCTCGTTGGTTTAGTAATAATAATAATAATTATTATTATTCAATTAAATCAACATTTTATATCATGTTTTAATCGTTTCATTAAAAAGAAATAAATCAAAACTGAATGTAATGTAATAATTACAAAGATACATACATAAGAATAGTGTTATGCACATACCATATACCTATTCGCTAATTTAATAATAATAATTATTTGTCAACGAAATAAACGTTTTGTATGATTACTTAATCCTTTCATAAAAGAATAAATACAATGTAATAATTATAATATAATATATATACATGTATAAAAGAAATTCCTTTCACATAATGAAGATTTTATTCATCAATGAAAATGAAGGTTCTTCTTACTTTGCCTGTATAGATATAATGAATGAACTGCCTGAAGGTTTCCGGATGAGCGTGTGGCATTCTAACGGGTGTCGGGTTTCCAGCCGTGCCAATCCTTTTAGCGGCTGCGAAATTCTTGCACCTGTGCACCACAAAAGTTCATGAGGATTGATCATAGAATAATAAGATAGTGATATTACAGTTGGGAATGAAGGATGGAGTAAGAATAAGAAGAAGGAAGAAGAAGATGAAGATAGAAAGAGTCATCGAGAATGAGAGAGAGAGAGAGAGAAAGAGAGAGAGAGAGGGAGAGGGTGAATGCCGATATTTCGAGTTTCGTGGGAGCATAAATGTGGCTGTTCGAGGGGTAGTTCTTGTAACGAACGCCATCCACTCCGGGCCGTCGGAGTCTCCAGCACTTCTGCTGCTGCTGCTGCTGCTTCTCCTCGTCACAAAAGAGCTTAATTGACTTCGTCAGGAAGCTCCGTTGCCGCGGGAGAATACGTAACTAACATACGGCGCACTGGCTTTAGTTTCCGTTCCCCTAGAAATTAATGGCAACCTTCGAAAAGTCTCATCTCTCTTGCTCTCTCTTTCTCTATCTTTCTCTATCTTTCTCTATCTATCTATCTTTATCTTTCTCCTTAGTTGTTACTACTCTCTCTCTCTCTCTCTCTTTCTTTCTTTTTCTCTCTCGCTTTCTCTCTTTCCACGTCTCCGTCTTTTCTTTACCCCCTCGTCTACTATCGAGGAAAAACGAGAGGATGCTGACGAGAGTAAAGGAACTTCACGATCTCGTCGATTTTGATCGTCTAGGGTGTGAACACGTAACTCTTTTTTTTTGTATTGAAACTTTGAGTTTCATATTGAAAAAGAAAAACAAAACAAGAATTCTCAAAGAGATATTGGTATTGACTTTTCGACAGAAAAATATTTTTCTAATCATTTTTTAATATATTACAATCTTTGGGATCACGCGTTTACTTTGATCGTATTCTAAAGTGCGAACATCCATCTCATTTCGCTTTGTAACATTGGATTTCATTTTAAGGAATAGGAATGGATTTTTAAAAGAATCGCATTCTGGATATTGATATTTCAACAGAAATATTTATCTTTTTCATATTTTCGTATCAAAATTATAATCATCGGGATAAATTGAAGACTTTGATGATTTTCTATAGAAATATATTTCTTTTAACATACGTTTGATTATACCAAAAAAAAAAAAAGAAAAGAAAATTGAAAAAGAAATAAGACTTTTAAAAATATATTATTATTAAACGAGTATTTCTTTCTCGGTGTAAAGTCAACGACACGAGAAATACTCTCTCGTACGGAAGGAATCACAGAGAGCCCGTGTGTTAAATGGAGCACAACGACGCACCTTGAAACCAGTCGACCAGGCCCTTTTCCCGAGGACACCATAGTACCGAGAGTTAAACATAGACAGAATGAAAGATAAAAAAAAAAGAAGAAAATAAAGAAAGAAAGATAGAAAGATAGAAAGAGAATGTGTGCATCAAATCGAAATTGAATTTACACCGTGGAATGTCGTGTAACGAAAGAAAGAAAGAAAGAAAGAAAAAAATAAAGAAAGAAAGACAGAAATAAAGAAAGGATGTACACGTTGGTAGTAAAGGAAACGGGCCGTTTTTCAATTAGAGACATTCACCAAAGTGGTGGATGTGGGGGGTGGGTGGAGTAGAAGAAGTAGGAACAGTGGGCCGAGGGTTAAAATGAGGAGAAGGAAGAGGAGGAGAAATAAAAGAAAGGTTGGGAAAGGAAAGGAAAGGAAAGGAATGAAAAAGTCGGAGATCGGGGTAGCAAAAACGGACGAGTCGTTAAGCGTAGCTTTCAGGAGTCGACGTCCACTACTACGACGACCATGTTCTCGTGACTTTGACGATGGTGCCTGTGACGTAGAAAGAATGAGAAGGAGGGTAGCAGAAAAAGAGAGAGAAAGAGAAAAAAAGAGAGAGGGGAATGGGTGGGGTGGGGGGTTGGGGGGTGGTTCCCTCTTGAAGCACGTAAAGCGTGCCTCTCGCGCGTATCGAATCAAAAGAAAATGTGTCAAAGAGCCGACGAACGCAAATGGAAGAGGCTTTGATATTATACCGACGTATACCCGAGCGTCGCCCTGACGACGACGACGACGACGACGTTGACGTCGTAGTCGTAGTCGTAGTCGAGAAGAAATCGTGGAAAATGTTCTGCTGGAAAAGCGTGCGACCCTTGTCGAATCGACGTTGACGAGAAGCAAAATAAAATATCAAACGTTCCTTGTGTGTGTGTGTGTTAGCGTGTATACACGCTTTCCTTCAATTTTTATTTTATTTTCTATTTCTTTTTATCCATACCAAAAATTCTAGTTTTTTTCTCTCTCTCTTTCTTTCTGTTTCCTCTCGTAGATGAATTTACTATTACGTGTCTACAAACGAGGACGTAGGTATACATTTTAAAATTACTAAAATTGTACAGAATTTTAACGCGTATTGTATCGACGTGTTTTTTTTTTTACAAATGTTTTTCTTTTTTTTAATGTAATTTCTTTTTATTAATAATATAAATCGATATTCTATCTCAATACTGTAGATGTGTATATTATACTTAGAAGATTGTATAGAATATAGAATGTTTAATGAAACGTTCTATATACGTTTACTATTTTGGGAAACTTGCAACAGATTATATATATATATATATATAACTATATGTAACTATAACGTTTGGCCTATTTACTTTGATACGAATGCTTCATTAGGTTGCTGTTCAACCGGTTTAACTAAAGCTCAAGCATTTTCCAATATCTGTGATGTATATATATATATATATATATATATATATATATATACACATAAAAATGAGAAACTGGCACATATAAAGCAGAATCGTTATCCTATATACAGACATTCAGAGGTCTCCGCGTAATCGAAAGATCGGCATTCGCTCGAATTAGTCCGAACCGGTTTGAAATTCCATTCTGTCGTTCCTGTGTCGTTTCCGAGTGTTCTAAATTTAGCATCGAGGTGTTTTCCCTAAAACTTCTACGAGAGAGAACCAACCACACATTACTCCACTACTCATTCAATTCAATGAAAACATCAACAGTATTAGTAGAAGCGATTACATAATAGGCTAATTAGTGGCTGTCCGATTGAATGATAATCCATGTTCTCTTCATACGAATTTTCATCGAACAAATTACTAGGTCAATTCGCTTTTGATTCAAAGGGAAACTCGTTTCTCTGATCTTGAAATGGAACGTCGTTCTACAAACGTTATTGCGTAGGATATCATCTCTAGTGACAAATGAGATACGAATTCTATCCTTCTATTTCTATCTCTTTCTCTTTCTCTTTCTCTCATCCGTTGAACGTTTAGCTTTGTCACGAGGCATCTATTAAACTAGGTCGAACATCTGTAAGAGAACCACCTCTTCATGATTAGATTTACTGTTCAACAGAGAATTGTGTAATAGTTTAGGATTGTTTTGTATAATCAAATTATGAGGATTGTTTCTCTAATCAATTATGACATCTAATCCTTAATTAAATCATCTTTCTTATGACAAATAAGTGCTTATATATATAAATAAAAAATTTCTTTTTTCTTATTACAATTATATATAATTAGTACTTAAATTAAATATATTTATTATTGAAAAATCATATAGTCAGAAATATTATATTTCATTTACCTCACACTTGATTATATCTATCACATGTCATTTGATATTATGTCGCAACCAATAAAACCTCCCCCTTTTTTTCTTACTATCGCAATAAATACTTCCCCTTATTTTCCCATTCGAGTAAGCCCGCCACCACAACCACCACCACTACCATCACTACCCTTCTTAATGATTTTCGGTAAGATTTAACGATCTGCTAGCTGGTGGCACAAACGATAGAAGGAAGAAGGAAAAATCAGACAATGCATCTAAAACAACGCGCACGTCATACGGTTCTTCATTCCTGTACCTTTTTTGCTCCTGAGTTTTTTTGCGCAAAGCTGACGGAAAAGACGGGCGTACGTCAAAAAAAAAACAAGAGAGAGAGAGAAATAAAAAGAAAAAGAGAAAAAGAAAGAAAAAAAAGGACAAAGCAAGAAGAAGAAGAAGAAAAAGAAGAGTGAGAGAGGGTTAAAAAAAAAAGAAGAGTGGGGGAGGGTGGTTCTCTAATCACGAGCGAACGTTGCCGCAGCATTGCTATCAAAGAAAACCAAAAATCAGCGTGAGAGAATAGAAGAAGGTGAAGAAAAAGGGGGGTAAAAAAAAAAAAAAAAAGAACTAACGTTAGAATGAGAGAAAGAGAAAGTCTGATGCAAGTCAGAGGTGTTAGGAGAAACGAGTGGGGATGGGAGAAGTTATACGGTGGGGGTGGTTTTCGCACAACTTGGAAAGGGTTAGTAGAAGCAAGTAGGATAGAGAGAAAGAGAGAGGGACGAGAGGGTGGGAAGGAGGGAAGGGGGGATATACACGGGGCGGTACGACGTGGCTGGGAAACGAGGGTCGTGGCTGGTGCTTGGTTTTACGTCGGCAAGGGTTGAATGTCGCCGCAGGCTCCGCTACTAACGACCAAGCATGCGATTATATGGCGGCTCCGTCGATCTACGTGCAAAAACCGCTTTGGTTTCCGGTTGCACGGGGTCTCTCTTTCTCTCTCTCACTGCTTTTCTCTTTTTCTAGTTCTTTCTCTTTCTCTCATTCTCACAATTCCTACTCTCTACGAGAGAGAAATGTCATCGTTGATGGTTGCTGGCACACCTCTAGTTCCTCGCGTCCGTCATTGTAGTCACCTAGTCACACCTTTTTCTTTTGTTTCCTTCTTTTTTTTTTTTTTGTTGCGTTGGTATAGGATTTAGAAAGATTCCTTGACGTTTTAGTTTAGTTTAGTTTTTTTGTAATTATTATAGATTATTATACTAACTTGTAGTTCGTAATTTTGTATGATTATTTTTATAGGAAAGGGATTAAAGAGGGAAAACAATTGGAACAAAATGTAGAGATAATCGATAGAATAATTGACATTGTTTTAACGTTTTAATATTTAACAAACGTAATATAATTATACTCATTAACTGGTGTTAAACATCGATCGAATGATTTGATAATAAATTCATAAACAATATTGAATGTGGATTTTAACCGTAATAGCCTTTTAACCCCAGTTCCATATTATATCGAGAAATAAAGGGGGAGTATTTATAATCCGATTTAATGATAGAAACAATTGTAAGTGGTATATATCAAAAGCAGACGTATGATATTCCGTTAAGAGATAAAAGACAATGGTATTTTGGAGGGCTTGTGTGTGTCTAGGTGATATTCTCTCGCCTTTAGAAATATAACGAGGATAGTGGTACTCTAGAGGGACATACGAAAGAAAGAAAGATAGATAGATAGATAGCAAGAATGAGTATAAGAGAGGAAGAGAAGAGAAGAGAAGAGATTACGATTTTAGCAGGATTTCAGTAGATACAAAAGAGGGAAAGATAGATTGTGAGAGAAGGAGAGTGAAAAAGATAGAAATATAATGGACCGATGAGAATTCTAGTGCGGTTCGCGTATTGTCCATTCGTTTATTCCGCGGACGTCTGTCATGAGCATGCGTAACTTAATTTTCCGAGGATCGCTTTGACAAAGGGATCGAGAGGAGGGCGTTAGGTGGCCGAAAGGCTGGCGAAAAGAGGGACCGAAAGGAGGAATAAGTGGAGGGACAAGGGTGAGGAAAGCAAGGAAAGAAGGAAGGAATGAGCGAACGACAAAGAGCTTGTTCGTCCCTTCCATACCGGTATCAAAAGGGTTCGCGGAAATATCGTAATTGACTTTACAATTAGCGCCGTCCTGTTCTGTGGAAAACTGGCTGCCGGTTGGTCGTCCGTCCCTTGGACGTTTCAACAACCATCCCTTTTCTTCTCTCGACTAAATATCAATCCCTTCTTACAATAATTAGAATTCCCTCGATTCTAGAGTGCATCGAGACGATGAGAAAGAGAAAAACTACTGGATCGTGGAAAAAGGAAAGCCACGTTTCTCTATCCTTTTTTTTTTCTTTCTTTCTTTCTTTCTCATTTTCATTCTCTTTCCCTGTCTTTCTCATTGTCCAACTAATTAGAACGGCCGGACGATTCGTTTCGTCGGTAACAATCGGATCTCCTTAATTAAAATCCATCGAGCCAGCAGGAAGGCGAGCGAGATTCGCGCGTGCTTACACCGATCAAGAAAGTTCGATGACTTTGGTTTGGTTTGGTTTGGTTTGGTACGAAGTCTCCTTCGATAATCACTCGCGCGTTCATTAGTTTTCCTCGAAAGAACCTAAAATCCGATTTTTCCTATTCATCCCAATCATCTTTTAGCCGACGTCTAACGTTCGAAACTTTTCTCCTGAATCATTTTCTTTATCCTTTCTCTCTCTACCTACTTACTTTTTTTTTTTATTTTTCATCTTCATCTTGTTATAGATTTTAATTTGTAAACAAAATCTCTTACAACTTTTCCATTTTATTTCGACGATAGTGGAAACACGACGAGACGTTGTTCGATATTTTGTTTTGTAGATATTATTCTACAGGCTTGTTTTTATCTTATAATTATTACTTGTTATTTAAAATTCGCAATTAATATTTAAATATGAATATATAATATAGAGAGTTTAAAGAAATATATGTGTCCGATTAAATTGATAATATTATTATTCCACAGACGTGAAAAAAAAAAAAACAAAAATGACGTTACGATAGTTCACAAAAAATGATCGTCAATTTAGTTGAATTATTCTCGTTAGAAGTAGCACCAGTGTCATTCTTGCCAGACCATCACTCTCAGACTTTTCTTTTCTCTGCTTCGTTTTATATTAATTTTTTTTTTTTTTTTTTTTTTTTTTTTTTCATTTTATTTTTTTTTCCTTCTTCTTTCTATTCTACCAACTCTGTCAGTAGCAAGGAACTTCCTAACGAAGTTATCCCAAAGTAAGTTAGCCGCTTTTAAGTAACAAGGCACCGTGGTTTCTGCTTTCCATAAGGACGAAAGTAACATAAGAGAAAAAGAGAGAAATAGAGAGAGATAGAGAGAATAAGAGAGAAAAAGGGCAGTAACTTACGGATGTACTCCAGACATACTACACGTTTTTCCTCGGCCATATAGCGCCTTTGCATTAACGATGAGAAGACAATAGCAGTAAGATAATAAAATTTCTTATCTTTCAAGTAACACTAAGTTAATATAATTATACGTTAATGTAATTTTAAGATTATATTGATTTATCGATTTTCGATGATTTACAATTTTAAACAAGAAATAAACGAAGTACGTTAATAAAAATATTATATGGCAACAAATTTGAAGAATTTACTTTTTACTTTATCTTTAAATTTCACTTCTGAATTTTTCATTATTTCTTTATTTTATTCGATCTGATTTTTTCTCTCTTTATCATTTCCTTTTATCTACTTCTCTATCGTTCTCTTTCTTTAACTTTTTCTATTTCTTTATTTAAATCTATCTCTCTTTCTATTTACTCTTTTCTATCTGTTTCTTTCTCTATCTATCTATATATATATATCTATCTCAATCTAAATCTCTATTTCTATTTCTATCTTTATCTCACTCATCCTCTTTCTTTCTAACTCTCTCATTCTTCGTCTTTCTTTATCTTTATCATTTTTTCTATCTATCTTATTCTCTCTCTCTCTCTCTCTTTTTCTACCCCACTCATTTTCTCTTTTTTCTCTATCCTCATCACACTCTTTATCCCTCCTCCCTCTTTCTCTCTGTCTTTCGTATTCTGTCGTGTATCCCATCGTTTATCTTGATTTTTTTCCTCCACTTTGTTCCACGGCTACGTAGAGGAATTCTCCAAGGAAATCTCGCGACTCGATCGACGAGACTTTACTCGTCGCTTTAATAAAAATTACGATTAACAATTAAATCCATTCCCCGGGCGCGTCACGTTACTTCATTTTAACGTGATTTTCATTCGTTTTCCGCACAGCTTTTCCTTACGGGACGGTCATGATATTTCTGTTTCTGCTACGAGTTTCTACAGTTATATGTAACCAAGTATCTAGTAAATACATATATCTATATATAGTATTTTATCATTGGTAAACGTGAGAAAATATATCGATGACGAGAAAACGAGGAAAGAACCGATCTCATTACGTCAGGAAAGGCACACTCACTCATATCACTCTACTCGCTCATTCTACACTTTTTCTCTCTTCTCTTCCACACTTTTCACCTTTTTTTCTTTTCCCATATTCTTTTTTTAGATATAGCTTGAAATAGAGTGGGAAAAAGAAAGAAAGAGAGAGAGAGAGAGAGAGAGAGAGAGAGGATAGATACGTGTACTTTCATCTAATACAAAACTCGTAAACTCGTAAATTTTGCGCGTAAATAGTGTACGCGTAGAGAAAAAGGTTTAATTTCGTTTGCTGAAATAGCATTTTTCATTAGCATTTTCTTTTCTTTCTTTTTTCATTATTATTATTATTATTATCATCATTTTTTGTTATTTCTCTTTTTAATTTCTTTTTTTTTTTTCTCTCTCTCGTCCGAGTAAAACTACAGAAACGGTAGTAGAATCTCGCGTTTTGGTTTCACCGTTGGTGCAAATTGAATTTCCTCGCCAAGGAGAGTTTGAGCTTTTTTTAATGAAAATTCGCTCTTGGGGTTACGTACACCAACCCTATCTATCTATCTACCTACCTACCTACCTACACGAATCGTTTGAAAAATGTTTCTAAATGTAATAATAAAATGTTCTCTTTGGTCGAAATATAAGCTCTTATATTTCTTCTCATATTAAATCTAATAAAACGAAAATGTTCTATTTCACGAAATATAAGCTCTTGTATTATTATTATCGGATAAAGGATTAATTTATGTATGCATGCATGGAAAAACAAACGATGAACCAACCTTGCTTGTAGTATGATTCTGTGAGCATAAACCGGGGTCTCGTCTCTACCCAAAAGGAATACGATGTCGGCAGTGTCCTTGTCCTCGGATAGTCTTGCTAAATCTTCCAAAAGTCTAGGTACACCGGCCAAACCAGCCTCACCGGAAACTCCGGCGGCACCTGGCACCGCCCCCATAGTAACGGCCCTGCTTACCATTGCCTGCACGTTATTCATTTCTATGCATTAATTTTATTAATATTGTTAATCGTTATTTTGGTGGTTGCTATTTTTTAAATCATTAAATCAGATTAACGGGGAACAATTTGGAATGATTTTAAATATTTGCCATAATGCTTATTGTATTTTATTTTTCAAGATATTATCTCGTTATTGGTTGTTTTTTCTTTTTTAAATAATTAAGTAGAATTTATAAGAACAATTTCGAACGATTTGGTATTCGTTATTAAGCGGTTATTGTTGCATTTTTTTTTATTTTTATTTATTAGACAGTACTTGTAAGGAAAATTGCATACGATTTGGATAGTTTGAGTTTTCATATTTTGATGCATTGTTCCGTTAGCTCATGCAATTCGCTTATAATCGGATATTAATGGAGGTGACGAGGCGTGTCCGTCTATCACCCAACGTATATTATACGAATTAAACAAACACAAAGATAGATGTATAGTAGTTACGCAAGCATATGCCATATCGAGTCGAATATTTTGTCGGATGCGTTGGTTGTAACGATGTCAAACGTTTGCAAGCTTGGAGGTTCGAAGAAAAGCATGCATAGTTAGAGAGAGAAGGATAAAGAGAAGCGTGTAATAAGGGTGGGGGGAGTACCTGGGACAGTAGGGTGGGCATGTAATGGAAAGGGGTTAAAAAAGCAACACCGATTAAAGTACAATCGGCGCTAATTGCACGATTAATATTTGATTTGCGTCGCTATGGTGGTGCAGCCAACGCGTCATTGGCCGGCCCAGTCGTCGTGCAACCTAGCGATGAGTCCAACTCGATCTGAATTTTCAGTCGGTGTTAACGGTTCCACGACTGATTCCCTTTTAATTAGTTCGGCTTTTGTAGTTTTCGAACGCGTCAAGCGCCGATTGTTCTCGTAAACCACCCGCCGACAACGAATTTGCGAAACCTTTAACACTAAACCCAACACCACTACCACCACCACCACCATCACCACTATCACCATCATCCTGTCAATTTTTAACAGCCTTTTAATTTTTTATTTTAATTCTACACACACTCGATGTGTTATTTTATGTTTATATATAATTTGTTTTATTATCGTTTGAAAATATTGTATTATTTATTTGATTTGAAGTAATAACAAATTAATTGGAATCTGTATTATCAATTGTTAAGGATTAAACTTTTATTAAATACCGATCCGTGTGTCTGATACCGGTTTCGGTATAAGTAGGTATGTATGTATGTATGTATACCGTAAACTGTTGATAGGTTTACCATTTAAATTCTATATTCTCTATTTACTTTTGTGACAATTATAATAAGAAATATTTTTTAATTATTATTTAACACACACAACCAAAAATTTATTTATCATTTATTATTAAATTTTTAAAATGAAGTTCTCTCAAATTTTATTTAATTTTAATAACAAACGTATTTGTTCGTTTCATTCTTTCTCAAGTTTCTACTATTAATTTTGCAAATATTTTCTTCGTAGCTCCTTATAGATTGCTCATGTTTGACAAATCTCATGAATAAATGTTATTGCAAAAAAAAAAATTGATAAATAATTTGAAAGTAAACTAAGATAATCATTGTTTCCCATAAACTCAAATATTCGCTAGAATTAATCCTACCTAATATACCCTAGCTCCTAATTTTGTAAACACAGTATATGCACACACGCGCACATGCACGTAACCACGCAAGCAAACGAGTATACATACACTAACACACGACGACTAGTGACTTCTCTTCGTCTGTAGGAATTTATTCAAACTCGACCGCAGAGAAGGCACGTTCTTGTTCTGCTTATGTTTATTTGTATACATACACAAGGAGAGAGATAAAAATATCTAGAGATTTAAACAAGTATATAAATAAATTAATGATAATATATTTCTACTCTCTTCGTGTAACAAAACTCTAATATAATATTAGTAATAACAATAATTATTATATAATAAAACAATTTTACTTACAAATAGGAAATTTAACGATGGCACACAGAAAAAAAAAAAAACGGAGAATAAATTGATGAGATTAGGTATGAAAGCTCTCTTTAGTGATCACTTGTATAGATTTTCTAGTAATATAGGAAATACATATATATATATATATACACGATTCACAATGTTCATACACACGTGGGCGAATATTATCGTTGCACGCGAGCCACTATGTCCGAGTTGTTCGACGGCATCCTACACTCACTCTCTCTCTCTCTCTCTCTCTCTCTCTCTCTTTCTCTTTCTCTTTCACACACTCCCCTTTTATCTCTTTCTTTCTCACAACGACAACGTTCCTTGTTTTCTCAAAGTTCGACGTGTCGTTATTCCGTTTAGTAGTAAACGCAAAACTTTTCTCAGGTAAAGAAGAAAACTGTAGTTGTAAAAACTAAACTATAGTCGTCGTTGTCGTCAGCTTAACTGTTTCGAAATAGAAAAAGGAAGTCTCTCTCTCTCTCTATTTCTTTTTTTTTCCCCAAACGGAAGTTTAAAAGTTTAGCGCGAGATATTCCTCAAGTGCGAGTCGAGTTTTACGATTCTCTGGACCAGGGTTCTGCTTGCTTGCTTGCCCGCCGTTTCTTCTTCCACCTTCCCCCCTCACTCTCCCCTCATTCTCCTCTCTCACTCTCTCTCTTTCTCTTTTACCTGCTTCCTCTCCTTTTCTTACCAAGGTTCACCTTCCTTCTCGCTTACCTGTTCCTTTCATTCCTTTACTCCTTCTCTTATATCCTTTTCTCTCTTTCTTTCTCTCTCTCTCTCTCTCTCTCTTTCTATCTTGGCCCACGTTCTCCCACAAGATCCTTCTACCTCCTCACGTTGTTGCCAGATCCTCTTCTTTGGTGCACGGATCGCACGATCAAAAGGGATCTTTGAGACTCCTTCTTCTTCTTCTTTTTCTTTAATAATAAGAGAAACGGAGAGAAAGAGAGAGAGAGAGAGAAAGTTAGAAGAGAGCAAGAGAGAAAGAAAGGGAGAGAGAAAGAGAGAGAAAGAGAGAATGATCAACAGCGAGTTTTCTTCGAGATCTCGATCATACGATCTTTCACGTACTTTGAATTCTTTCGAAATTCCTCTGTCATCGTTTTTATATCCAGCTCGTTTTTACCCCCACTCCCTCGCCCTACCAACCCCAACCCGTTTTGTTTATTTTTATTTTTTTTTTTCCTCTTCTTCTTCTTCTTCTTCTTCTGTTTCTTCTCTATCGGATTCTGAGTTATACCATGGAAAATAATGCAGGATCTTTCTGCACTCTTTCTTTCTTTCCCTTTTACTCAGACTCCTGAGTTCTATCTTTCTCACTTTCTTTCTTTCTTTCTTTCTTTCTTTCTTTCTTTCTCCTTTTGCTTTCTTTTTATTCTTTGTCTTCTTTCTAGTCTTTGCCTACGTTCCGTTACTTAACGCACGAAGAAACAGGATACGCTCTCCTCAAAAGTTTTCTACCTTTGAAGTAAAATGCGCGTGGTTTGCGGTCTCGCCACGGACGAATGCGCGATCTTGGCGCAATGCGGTCCCTGCAGTTTCCTCCAGGCAAAGATATCGCGCCTGTCTCTTTCTTTTTATCCTCTCTGTCGTACCAACCATCCAACCAACGAACCAACCAACCAACCATCCAACCAACCAACGCGACTTCTCATTCCTAAGCTTTTCCTTCCAAGAATTCAGGACCTCATTTTTCTCTCAACTATCCGGATACCTTTTACCTACTGTAAAACAATCAAAATTATATGAAACTAATAATTATTGGATTTTTTTTTTATCACCGTGTGCTTTATTTTTACCAATATTATTAATATTTCAATTTGTTTTTTTTTTTTTTTATTTAAATTATATTATATGAATAATGGTGGAAATGTATCTCTAGAGGTTGGAGGCAACGTTGTTGACCGAAACACAATTAACTTGGAATCTGGTTTGACCCTGCATGAAATTCGTAATCGTCTTACCACTCCCCACTACAAATTCTTTCTTTTTCTTTTTCTTTCTCTTTCTCTCTCTCTCACTCAGTGAGTTTTTTTTCTCTTTATTTATTTCAACTCTTCTCTTCGTAATATTTCGCATTCATTTTTGTTCATATGAATCCATCAACGATATCACGATTTATATTATCGCGTTTGTTTTACCTATCGATGTTAAACAATGCAACCGGTTTTTCAAAAGAAGAATTGTGAATCGATTGTAGGTAAAACAGAATGATCAAGGGATGTTTCGTATCGATCGTTGATTTATATTCGATATATTACTCGTATGATAAATATTTATGAAAAATATATTATACGATTAACTTCTTGACCTATAACCACGAGTCTGACTCGTGGTAAAGAATTTGTGTCATAAACAAAAGCCACGAGTCTGACTCGTGGTTATAGGCCAAGGGGCTATTTAAAAAAAAATAAAGGTAGCCTTAAAAAACAATAAAAAAAAGAAATTTCTTTCGATCATTTTTTTATTGCCATGTATAGTCAATTAAAAACAGATTAACTTTGGTTTAAAGTATGTTTTTTGTTCAGATTATCGCAATGGTACTTGAAAAATTGTGACTAGAGTTATTTGGGACACTTCTGTATATTATAATACATTCTAATTTTTTTTATTTTCTTTTTTTTTTTCTATTAACACAAGTTAAAGTATTAATTGCGAAAGAAATTTGTTTGCCATTGATAGAATAGATAAGAAGAGGTCGGGTTAATATCGTGATCATTTGTTAAAATAGGAAAACCCTTTCGTTTCTCACTTGTTCTGTTTCATTTCTCTTTTTTTAGTTCGAATCCCATATAACCATTGGCGAAAAGTGCGCTATCCGAGAGTCAGCACTTCTTTTCAACGAAACACTGGCACACGGCTGACAGTAATTATCGCGGAAAGACCGCTTAATGGCCATTATGGACAAGAGCCCACCACTATCCGTTCTCGCATCTCCGCTGATTTCCTGGTAGCGCCTAACAAAATTGCCGCATTACGTCGTTTAAGCGCCTCGAGAGAGACAGTTAACGTTCCCGTGGA